CTATCTCTCCCCCCCCAAAATCCCCACTTCTTCAATTTAGTGCTTTCTAAATATATTGTGTGATCATTTCCAACCACTGTGGCTATATTGTTTGATATATCACGAGAATTGTAGTCCACCAATTCTAGAAAGCAATGGGTTAAGAAAGATTGTACAAGACCATCTGAAATAATGACATTGAAAAATTATGGAGAAATATTATCTTGGCTTTTGAGGCAAGCCACTGTCACAAATATTTTGTACTGAGGTACTATTGGTAGCTTCATAATAATGATAATGGAAGAAGAAAATTACACATTTTGTATTTTCCTATAAAAACATCATTTTATGGTCTGGAAAAAGTGTGAGACAATGGTAGCTTAGTTTTTCCTCTTATTGTTCCTAATTAACAATATGCAGTTGCCTGGAAACAAAATTCAGTAACATGTGCTTATTGTAAGCTATGTGGATAATAGGATGTTCTGCCCCCAATACTTCTATTCCTCTGAATATAGCTGCATTTGTCATTTCTGTCAAGAACATATGTCATCTTTGATTGTACATCAGGATGTGTGTGTGTTGTATGCTTCTCAGTTTTTTTAAATAAAATAATAGTATGCACCAACTGTAGAATTCCTGCACAGCTAAATACGATGTCAAAAATAAAATTAATTAGCAAATTACAAAATAAAATATTTATAAACAAGATCTGTAATACTTCTGTAATACTACCCTGTTTTCCCCAAAATAAGACATCCCCTGATAATAAGCCCAAACGGGCTTTTGAGCGCATGGCAATAAGGCCAAGCACTTATTTCAGGGTTCAAAAAAATATAAGACAGGGTCTTATTTTGGGGGAAACACGGTATCTCACTGGCTAGTTATAATGAGTTGATAAAAGCATTTTAAAAAAACTTTTATTAATTTTATTTTAAATTTTCACAGTAGGAATATTTTTTTCAGTCCAGGATTAGGGTTAGAATTGTCCTATTTTTAAAAAACCTGTAAGATTGCAATGTTGCTGATTATTCTTCCCCTCCTGTGGATACTGCTTGTTCAGATTATAACAAAAAACAGCAATGCAAAAAGTAAGCTTTTCTCTGGACTTTCCAACGTGACTTGGAATTGTCAAGCATCAAAACTTCCCAAGCATCTAATCTACCACTGACCTACAGTCTTTTCCATAAACACATACCAGAAGAAGCATTAAAACATTAGTTATAGATTTGTCATCAAGCATCATCTAAAATTCTTCCTGCCAAAATCCCTTTGGAGAAAAGGATAGTATTTGTGATTTAGGCAAAATAATGTGAATCAATAGTTCTGACCAATATTTATCATTCAGTTCTGACTAGCTCTCAGTATTCCTTTGAAGAATTCCACTGGAGACACAAATATCAAACTGTACATCTGATTAAGAGAGATTAGTAAGAGAGGCACCCTACAGATTCTTATCTGTCTTTAATAATCCACATATGTTCCATATGTCATCTCTTTAGGATGTACCTCCCTATTTCTACTTCTCATTCCATAAACCGCCTCCAGTTCAGAAATTAGATCAAGCATCCCTAATGATTTAATGATAACTGAAATCTTCCCTGGATGAAAAGGAATCAAATTAATCATTGTTTACGAAAGAAAAAAAAACTGTTTTTCTGCAAATTTTCTTTCTTGCCATTTTCCTGTTGCCAGGAAAAGAAACATCCATCCTTTGGCATTTCCAAGTGTGAAAAGTCTGACTGAGAATACACAGAATTCTATGGATGCTTGTTGAAAAGCATTATCTTTTTATAGAGGATACTTTTTATAGAGAATACTTAATGCCCAGATTTCGTGGATAGATGTGATATCATCCATCTGTTCTTTTGTGCTGTTTTACTTAATATTATGGGTCCCCCTACTTAAACATATCCTAGCCTAACTTCAGGAGTTTAGAAACAGCAGCTTTTATTTACTTCAGCTTCCAGATGTCTTTTGTAGTTTGATGAATTTATCAAGCAAGGTCACTAACATCTATCATTTCCAACAACCCTCAGGCTGGACTACGCTGTTCCACTGCTGTGTGTTACCACAACATGGAAATCAGTGCAAAGTGTATTTGTAAAAAAAAAGAGAAAGAAAGAAAACAAAGCAAAACAAAACTGAAAACTAGCATTCCTGGTTCAAAGGACTGTTCAATCACAATCTAAAGTTTTAACAAGACAAACATAGAAAGCTGCCTTATACCAAATCACTCCATTGGTTTGTATAACCCACTGCTATTTATGTTGTCTATGAATACTTTTAGAAGATCTCAAGATAAGATCTTTTCACATTATGATAGGACTTTCTGTATAAAAAATATGTGTTACATCACTGTGCAGTGCCTCCCTCCCTAGAACAAGTAAGAAGGTGGAACCCGAAAGAAACAATAGAAGATAAGTGTAAATTTCTTAGGTGGTCCAAACTTACGTTTTAAATATCATTGTGTTGAAATCAGATTACATATGTCAGCAGTCCTCTTCTCTACCACACTGTTTTTGGATAATCACAAAATTTACCTGGGATTGTTTCATATCAAAAGAAATGAATCCCATTTTCACAATGTATTTATAAGCTTTCATCTGGCTTCACCCACATATGTAAGCATATTCATATGTATGCAGTTTAGAAGTTAATAGCATAAGCTAAAATTGGAATGGTGAAATACCATGCCATGTTGCTCTGAAAGAAATTAGTAATATACTCTGAATGTTTCAAGATAACTCCATGGCATGATCTACAGTAGACTAGCAAACGGGGGGGAGGGGGACCCTTCGATATATAGAGCCCTAAGATCTGGGTAAGTGACAGAGCAATTGATGAATGGACAAGCTGATTGATTTGAGGGAACTGAATTTGAGCATTGAAATTCTCTCTCTCTCTCTCTCTCTCTCTCTCTCTCTCTCTCTCTCTGTGTGTGTGTGTGTGTGTGTGTGTGTGTGTGCGTGTGTGTGTTTGAATGTTTTTGAAATGAATGTCTTGTTTTCCATTCTTGTTTTATTGTAAATATATTTGGTTTTCTAACTTATTAATGATACTGCTTTTTGTTAGGGTGTGGGGGTTTGTTGTTTTTTTTTTGGTTTCCTGTAGAATAAATTTAATGACTTAACATGTTAAACTTTTGCAATTTCAACATGATGTACAAATCTAGCAAATAAGCCTAGTTTTCTGAAGGAACAAAGTAAGGTAACTTTTCATCTGTGGTGTGTTTACGGGTTTTACTTTTCCCAGTCTTAGCAAATGTATTAAAATTGAAGAGCCATTCACTATTATTTCTATTCAGCACTGCTCATTGTATATATTATAATTTTCTTAGGGATATACATTATAATCCAAGGTAGTAATGGCTAAAACATGCAGCTCCATATACAAACATTTCTGTTTCTTAAACTTTTCAAATGGATGCTAAATAAAAACAACAGATATTAATTCTGTATGTGGTAGCAGTCTTAGTTATGGGGCATATAATAACGTGTCCTTTGCATCCTCGTGTACAATATTTGAACGTGAAGTGTCAGAACTGATTAGTTTAGACTAAAAGAATCACATTTACTCATGTAGAATCCAAGACTAATAGCATTTCAACCAGTAAATAAAAGCAGATGCAAATAAATTTGATATAGTATTGCATATGCCCACAAAAATAAAAAAAATAACTCAGAGAAAATAAACACAAAAGATATTTCATAGCTGCAAGAAGCTAATTAGGAAAGCTGTAGTAAAAGGAATGGGACCAAATGGGTATTGAGGGAGGAGGACAGATAGGGCTTTTAGTAAAGGTTGGTATCCTGTAAGACAGCTTTGGATCTGTAGGGGTCTGCTGCTTTTCTACTGCTCTGTTGGTGTTGTTGAGAAGTCACGTTTGAAGACTGTCATTCTTCTATATGGTTCCAGACACAAAAGATCCTTTGGTCTTTTACCATAAAGGGTAAAACTCAGCTCCCTTTTCAACACTGGTTTTCTTCTGGTTTTCCTTCATAGGTACAACTATCTGTCTGTTTGCATGTATTTCTGTGTTTACCAGAACTCTGTGTCTATTTACCTGGGAGTAATTTCATTCATAATTGGGAGATTTACTTCTAAGAAAAGATACACAGCCTTTTGGGGCAGGTGAACACTCTCATGAGCACTTACGTGAGGCTCATGGAAATCAAACTCTAACCTCTAAGTGGACGTTTTTAGGCATGTATGCACTTGGTTTACTTCCAGCAAATAGGTTGTAGAGCTGTCAGGCAAAGCCCAACCGTTCAATATTATTTCCAACATAACCCATTTTAATCTAAAAAGAAAAATAATAGAAGTAATGTATTCCTAATAAAATGCTCTGTAAGAAGAGACATTTGTGCAGTAAATGTCTGCTGGAAGCATCTTTGGTTAAAGCAAGGATCTCATATTACCAAAAATGCTTTTAGAATAGCATTTTGACTATTTGTGATATAAAGATATTACAGGATTATTTATTTTATTTATTGATAATACAGTAGCACAGATTTACAGTTCTTGTCCCATAGTTTAAACATCATTAGGAAAATATAGGTTAGCATTGGCCATCAGGATTAGATTATTTTAATAATAGTTATTATTATTAAATAATAATAGTTATTCTTTCTTCTTAAAACAATTAAGAATCTCTAATACCATTCTAAGATTTTCATTAATGTACAATTCCCAAACCAGGTCAGTTAAATTGGCTTTTGACTAACATGACCAATTTATTGTGTCAACATGTCCTAGAATGAGAATAAACAGTATGCTTGCACAGACTAGATTACATTTTTCATGCAAATGTAGCCTTCACAAAGACAATTGTGATCTTAGACAATTTTGTAAACATTATCATAGAAACATTTTATCTTAGGTTCACAGCATTGTAAAATATCCTTTAATTTCTTTAATTTTTTTTCCTTTCCTCTTACAGCTTTGTCCTTTCTCTACATTTGCTGTCTTCCCATTTTCTTCTTCCTCCCTTATTCTCGAATCTCTATTCTTCTCTGTTGCAGCAAAACAATATCTATCAAAGTAATTGATGATGAGGAGTATGAGAAAAACAAGACCTTCTACGTTGAAATTTGGGAGCCCCGTCTGGTGGAGATGAGTGAAAAGAAAGGTGGGGGATCGGCTATATGGGGCTGAGCCCTACCTGAATGCACCTGTCTTGATCACTCATGGATGCCTGGCACATCCCAATTCATAGATTGTCAAAACACACATTCCCATTATCTATGTAAAAGGGCAGAGAGCTGAGTCACTGACCAGAAGTGTCATTATTAGGGTATCCTAAATTCCATTAGCTGTCAAATTTAGGCATAGTTTTAGCCAGAGAGGAATCTAATTAAATTATCATATTCTCTGTCATACAAGACTATCATTATCTAATCTACCTTTTACATTGCTTCAAGTACAATTTGAACAAAAACTGCTTTTGACTCAGTGCCATGTAGTGGAAAGAAAACTATGCAAAAGGATCAGATTCAAATTGCTCTTCTACAGAGTAAACTTTGGCAAGTAAGGTTAGATCCTTCTTTTTGTCTTCATTCAAAGAAGGCCAAACATACATTGAGTATGGGAGAGATAGGTTATATTTTCAGGTGCTGTAATGCCTTCAAATATACTACAGGCAAAGTCTGCCTCTCGGTTTGATGCATACAATAGCCACGTATTCATTGTTCATAAAATGCCTGCCTGAAAAAGAGTGTGTCTCATGTGAAGTTCATGAGATAATTGTAATAAGAGTGTGTCTCATGTGAAGTTCATAAGATAATTGTAATAAAATATGTTCATTAGCTATTGAGATACAGTGAATAGGTCTGAAGCAAATGAATGGTCAAAAGCAAATCCATTGTCTTTCAAAGCAATTTAACAATGCCACGCTTGCTTTTCATGCCCATAGCAATACAGTTCCAGTATTAAATTCTTTAGGATCTACTTAACTATATTGATCACTAAGAAAGTTTCCAGAACCGAGGCTTTCTGCTCTCTTACATACATAAAAATAGGGATGTGTGGGTCAGAGTTCCCCCCATTATCATCACCATCAACCACCATCACAGCTGGGTCAAACTTAAAGCATGTGTGTGCGTGTGTGTAACACCAACCATTTGTTTTGCCTTTGTCTTGTGTTCCCACAGGAAATACATTACCCTTAGAATACTTGACCGTGAGGAATATGAGAAAGAGTGCAGTTTCTTCCTTGTGCTTGAGGAACCAATATGGATACGAAGAAGAATGAAAGGTGTGAGAGTAAACCCAGGCACCTTACAAGAAACTGGGACCATTCCCTATGTGTGTCTCCCTCCTCTCACAACTTTCTTACTCAGCTTCCACTTAATGTGTCATGACCTCTGTCAAGCTTAGCAGTTTTAATTTTGCATCTATCTCTTTCTCTTTTTTAAAAAAATAATTCTTGATAATTATTATGATCCACTTAAACATACCATATAAATTATTTATATAATACATCCTGTGATATGGATGCAATAAAATCCAAATATTATGACCACTGCAGTTTTGTTTCTCAAAGGGCAGATTTTTTAGCATCCTTTTAATTATTCCCCCAAATTATATCTCATTTGCAAACAATAGACTATAATATCCATGCATAATGAAATAGTTGTATCATATGCTATACTCAGTAGACTTGTACCTTTATTTCAGGTTTGTGCACACCTATACATCTATAAGTCTGTTCCAGTCTCCTCTCAAGGATATTTCCTCATTAAATATTTAGGGTTTTTTCCTAAAAATATAAATTTCTCCTAATATTCTGGAAATAAAGAGAATTCAATGCAATTTTAAAAATTGCACAACAATTTAATATTATTAAGGTGTTGATTTTATTTATTTATCTGAAGCACTCCTAGTCTACATTTCAATTACAAAGTCTCCCAGAGGACTTTACAGATCAATCAAACCAGCTGGTTTCATATTGAATATGTTTGACTGATTCCAAGGCTCTTCCGCCCCCCCCAGCCCCCCACAAATTTTCTCCTTGTCCTTGAGGTGAATGAATTCTTACTCAATTTTTCATTGAAGCTCAGTGTTAACAGATGAAATATAGAACCCAGCTCAAAACAAATATTAATATAGAGCCTAGATACACTGTGTAATTTAACAGAAGTTGCATGACGGTCCTCTCAGAACAGGCCATGGTGGAAAGGAGAGTAATGATTGCTGTACCAACAGATGTATTTATCTTTAGCTTATATCATTTGATATTGTGTTTTAAATATTTTCTTTCCCCATTGTCCATTCCTTGAGAACTGCAACTCACTATACATTTGATGCAGATATCCTGTAAACACTTCACACTTAATGTGAGTATATAAGACAGATGTATACATTTATTTTCACTCTTTGCCCACTTAGCTAAGTTGACAGAAGCCAACTGAGTTGCCCGATATCTTAACTTGTGGGTAGATAAAACTAATGAAATAGATATGTCCAATCTATCTGTAGTATTACAAGGAAGACTATGCCACAAGTATGCCCCAGTTTATATATTGATGTGCAACATAGATTTCTCATCAAGTGAAGTTTATTCAATGAAACCTATGTAACTGTAACTGGATCTTTTTGCATAAGTTTTTTTTAAATAAAAATATTCTGCAGCATAAACTCTAAAGGTAAATGCAATGAGCAAAATGCAGATTTAAAAAATGTTGAGACTGGTTGCTGAACAAACATTTAATGCTAAGAACAAAAAAAAATGTGCTAAATGCTCCCCAAATATCCCTTTCATATTTTGCAAGAAATCAATTTCTTCTTTTAAAAATCATATTTTAAATGAATAAAAGCAAAAGTTATCTTCTTTTGGCTAAGGAACATAGCTATCTATATGTAATATTCATAATACATCCTAAAGAATTGGGCTTGCAGTTTCCAGATTAAATGGAAGCATTGATGCTGAAAATTCAATAGGTTCTCTGTACAAAATGCATCTTAAATTATGGAATAGATCTCCCTCGAATAGTTTGAAAAGCTTCCAGGAGATCTGCAAGCTCTCTTGAGCAGGAGTCAGTTCGGTCTTACTCACAAGGCAGCATGAGATTTGAAAGACTTGAAGGCTAGAAGATTTAATCCAGCCTTATTTTTGAAAAACGTCTTTACCTGTCACATTACAATGCCAAACAGAGTTGTGCTTGGTTAAGAAAATAGCTCATTACATTCCTAGTGCAATCCTCCAACTGTAGCTGTGTCCTTAGGCTGAAGCCTTTACCTTCTGTACTAAAGCTACCAGATCTAGGCTTCAAAAATCCAGACCATTAAATGGCAACAAATCACTATAGAGAAGCCTAGCTAATTCTACTTAATTTGGATTTTTCAACCCACATATATTAGCCCTGTTCATTACAACCAAAGGCTTCCCCTTGTTAATGCAAGATGCACCCTTGTGCCAAGAAAGGATCAAGGTATATATAGAGTGTTATAATTCCAGGCATAGGAATGACTTGGTTGCCCTTTTTTTAAAAAAGAAAAAAAAAAGGCAAATGCTCACACATATCCATTGTGACATATTATTTCCTCAATCTCTGGCAGAGCTGTCAATGAAGCAAAATTAAGGTCTTTACATATATCCAAGAATATGATCTAAAAGTTGGGAACCTTGATTGAATTAAAGATTTGTCAGTTACACAAAACGTTACAGTGCATTTAATATTTTCCCACAATTTCACAGCTTATTCCCATGAAACGTGTCTTTTCCATTATTCTCATGCTATTTTTCTTTGTAGTAATGGTATCCTGCAGCTTTGCAGCTCTACGTTTTCTGGCCTCCTGGATCTGAGGCTTTTTTGTGGATGTCTTCTTTCCTTTCATTGCTCATTTTTTTTCTTCTGTATTTGTCCTTCTGTGTCTTCTCCACAGCCCTGTTGTTGAATGAGCTTGGTAAGCCCTGCATTTCTTGCATTTCTTTTCCATATGGGGGAGTCAATCAATGTATTTTATGTAAATTATTTTTTCAATTTATTTCATGCTTTATTTTTCTCAAAAGATTCAAGGAAGCTGTCCTACTAAAGATTATTAAAAACAATTTATGTCAGTTGTTGAATGTCAATTTGTGCTTAAATTCATTCTCCATATATACTGGCTTGAAAATGATCCTTCAGATTCAGTGTGCCTTTGACCAAAATCAAGGTAGGAAAGAACTAATAAAAAAATAGAAGATACTACATGATATTTGACCATAAGTTTTTACCCCAAAGCTTTTTACCAGACCGTAAATTAATCAGGTCAAGATTCACATTGTATTCAGTCTTTCTTTTGGTACGTTAATGAACAGCAAATATCTCTTTTTATTTGTCTTATGGTTTGCAGCATGACATAATAGGTTCCTTTTTAAGCATTCCCTTTAAAATTGCTTTCGCCAGTTTAGTGTCAATATTTTGGACTACAACTTCCATGCTTTTTAACGAGATATCCTTGTTTATCCATGGCTATGTTGCAATCCTTGATGGCACTAGAGGGCCACTTTAAACAATAACAATTTCTGTACTTTTTTTCAAGGAAAAGTCATTCTGCATGTCTTTGGGATCTGCTGTACAAATAGCTCAAAAGAAAATTACTTTTTTTAAAATGATCAGACAGTTATTTGTTTTGGTAAATGAAAATGAGAAATTCTGATCTCTTCGGGATATTTACAACTGGACCTCAAGTATTTTCACATTCTAAATTCCACTTTTCAGAAACAATTTGGTCTTCTTAGACAACCTCGTAAAGGACACACATTTTATCATGAAGTGTTCCTATATTCAGCCAAAATAAATGAAACTTGACAAAAACAGCTCTCATCCATCCCTGTGACATTCACATAGGATAGATTTCCATATAATTCTAGCTTTCTTCATAAATAAACTTTCAACACATTGAGACAAAGGATAAACCAGGTTTTATTTGGAAACCTAGGCTCATTCAATATGTACAACTTTCTTATACCAGCCTTCTCCAAGTTGCCAGCCTTCAGTTATATATAAAACCAATAGCCATAAATCCATTTTGGCTGGCAATTACAAGAGCTAAGTCCAACACAAAATGGACAGGTACAGTTGAGAAAGGCAAAGTCAGGATATTTTCCTGAGTTTATGTATCACAGGCCTGTTCTTTTACTGTGTTGGAGTCAGATCACGTATTTGTTCTCTTGAGAGGGAACAACAAAAGTAGGCCTCAGACATGCATAGCCATCCCAGAAGGAGCTGCTTCATACAGTTGAATGGACATTATGACAACTGAATGTGAAGGAATCAAGAAAGTTTGGCATAATGCTTTAGGAAAATTGGAATATGTAACAGATGGTATATTATTAAATGTTAACATCTGATCATATGGAGGCTTTTAGACATATTCTATATTTTATCCCCACTGGCTGAGATCCTTTTTATTTTGAGATCTCAGGACAGGCTTCTGCACCCAACATCCTCTAGGTGTACTGGATTGTAGCATCACCTCCAAACAGGACACTGGCTGCAGGGGACATGAACTGATGTCTAGCACATTTGGAGGGTATCAGAGTGATCTTGGAATTAGGTCCGGGATCTTTTGCATAAAGAATATGTATTTCCTGCTAATAAAATGCTTCTCCGTGAACTTTTTAAAACAACCAAGGAAGCATTTTCCAAATGCAATATACAGTATTTTTGTTTCAAATTTGATGATTATAGTCTCAACACATTTGAAGAAAAACAAGTTAGAGAAGATTATTCTCTTAATTTCTAATGTTGCCTTTAACTTTGTATTTCAACCAATTATGATTGACAAGGTATGATTTCCTATTTTTCATTTGATGTTCATATTTGAGAAATTTAGATAATCTTTTAATTGACAATCCATTCAGATAAACATACACCCTGATCATATTCCTATTAGGAAATATGTAGTTCATATTAAGAGCAAAGCTTCAATGATCTAAGTAATGCACAATGCAACAATATATTAATTTCCTTTCTTTTTCTCTCTGTTTTGGCGTTCCTTTAGGTGGCTTCACAATTACAGGTATGGATTTTCAATTATCTTTCTGTTCAAAGATACAATTCCAGTTTTATATAGCTGATCTTTTTTTTACTATTATACCTAGCTATCAATTATTCGCTAGCAATGTATATTATATGGCCCCCAAAACTAGTGGTTTGTGATGGTCAAAATGTTGGGCTTCAACCAAAGAGTATTAAATTTAAGCCTACTTTCAGCTATCAATGCTCAATGAGTGACTTTGGGCTAGACACTCTTAACTACCTCACAATATTGTTGGGGGGCAAAGGGAAAGAATCGAGGAAATACCATGAACAGTTAGTTCTCACTTATTGACTGTCTCATGCAGCAGACATTTGAAGTTATGACAGTGCTTTAAAAAAATGTTTTGATCTATCCTCGTATTTGTAATTGCAGCATACCACAATCATATGATCACCATTCACATGCTTCACAACTAGTGTGCACTTTCACTTGTAACAAGCAGAGTTAATATAGAAGGTGGAAGTAAAATCATAATTTCCAGTCACATGATTTTTCACTTAGCAACCACATTGCTTCTCTTAGCAACTGAAGGGGATGTAAGGTTATGAGCCCCATTGTTGTCAAGTTATTTTTCAGCTCAGCATACAAGTTGCTGATCTCACTTATGGTCAGTAAGCAAAGACTACCTGTACTTTACTTTGTACTCTTTGTGGAATAATGAGATATACATCAAACAAATATAAAATATAAAAAGTGGCTAGCAATCAAAGTTGAATTGTTGCCCCGATTGCCTTATCTGTAGGCTTTGGATGGGTTTCTGGTTGGCCACTGTTTATAAAACACAGATAGAATAGAATAGAATAGAATAGAATAGAATAGAATAGAATAGAATGAATAGATAGAATAGAATAGAATAGAATAGAATAGAATAGAATAGTTAGAATAGAATAACTTTATTGTCACTTTGAATGTACACTAATCGGCATACATTAAAATGAAATTTCGTTGCATACAGCTCTCCAAAGGTCATCATCTCCAATATACACTACATAAACATGACAAAATAAATAAATACAAAATTATTCATATACCCACATATATTATATGACACAGAGAAACAACACAGTCTAGTCCGGATGTATACATGACGAGAAAAATGAATCTTGTGAGTTGACCGGAGGGATGGCATAGGAAACAAAGCTGTTACAGAATCTGGTAGTTCTGCTAGAAATACTTCGAAATCTCCTCCCAGAGGGGAGCAACAGAAACAACTGGAACTCTGTTTTGGTATTAAGAAAACTAGTTTATTCTCTGATCTTTCAAAGATTAATATATAGCAAGATTTCCAAAACTGTTGCAGTTCTCCTTGGGGGCCCAAGTGCAAACTAGTTGCTCCCCAGACTAGTTAATCAACTCTACTACTACTCTACTATCACCCTTCACAAAAAGTTAAAAGATGTATTTTGTAACATCAGACAAACCTATCTATGACATAGGAAGAAAGCTGAACTAGCCCACCAAGAACTCCTGTTGTGAGAATCCTATTAGAATGTATGAGGACGTGTTCATTTCCTTGGAGGTTGCATAAAACAGTCTCCTTATTACTTTTTGTGTTTTGGACAAAATGTTATAATATTCTGCATTTCAATCTACTTAGATTTAAAATATTATGAGCTTTTATTTTGGACAAAAGGAAGAGTATATAACTGATTGTAGGATTGGAGTGGATCTTGCATACCTGGCTTCAGAAACATCACAGGTCCTTTTGCAACTCTGGAAGAAAGCAAAAAAGCTTTTATAGATTAGAAATATACAGCCATCATATTAGAGCTATAGTGAATGTAGATTCAACCAACAGATGTATTGGAAGTTGTCATTCTACATTATGTTTGTTAACATCTTGGCTTGTTCTTGTCATTGCTTTTATAATTAAGGGAAATCTTTGAATGGTAAGACATCTTGATTTCTTTCATATCCACATTCTAAGTAACTAGCACTTTTTGATTATGAGTTCATTCTCACAAACCTAACATCACATGTTTCATGCTAATAAGCTTATATTTTTAAAAAAACACAATTATTTTCTAAAAACTACTTGAAGGCTTAACTTGAGAAACTAGATTATGATGTGTTTTAAGATACTTCCAATCTGTTGACAACAAAGCTCCAAATATTACAACCAGCAAAATATGGTGGCTGAAGTTCCTAAGGTTTCTTCAAAGTGCTTGGTACCAAATTATCTTCAGCGGTATTTTTTATTACATTTTATTTTTTAGAAAATCTATGCAAAGTTAAAACATTTAATCATGCAGATTTCTTTTGCCAATGTTTTAAGTAAATAAAATAAAAATCCCACTATTCTGCTGCAACATGTACTCATCACAGCTGTAGGAGAATTTAAATGCAAGACACAGAAATAGACCATCTGAAACTTCCTATGTTCCAGTAGACAGAAAACACATACAGACTCAAATTGAGCGACCCCTAGCCTGACTTTGGGCTAATCACTCTCTGTCAGCCCAACCTACTTCACAGGGTTGTTGTTGTAGGGAAAAAGGAGGAGGGAGTTAGGTATGTCCACCACCTTGAGTTATTTATAAAAATCATAAAGGCAGGGAAAAAATAAATAAATCCCTTGCTTTTCCTAGAAGTTGTTATGCAAATGAAGCAGAGAAAAGAAAACTGGATATACCTTTAAAAAGGATGGGATAAAAATATGAATAGATACTGAAATAGCAATATCAGCTGCCCAGCTAGTTCCTGGAATAAATTGTCATTCATCTTATATCTTACATGCCATTGACAAAGCACTTAATTCTAATTGGGGTAAATGATAAATTGCTGTTGAGTTCTATAAGAAATCATTTGTAAGGATGCTCACAGACTCCATACTCAGCTAGGCTGAGCTCTGAATTAATGATAGGTTTTCTATAAAAATGTTGCTGATGCAACTAATTGTGATGCAGAGAAAATATGCAAATATAGCAGGAAAAAAATAATCAAATATCTGCTTTGTCTTTAAAATCCTTCTCTTGAGACCAAGAGGGGAGAAAGTTTGCAATATCCGGTAAAAGTCATTATTTGTCCAAAATATACTGTATCATTTGTATAATCATTGATATGAAACACATAAATATTATTATGAAAAATCTTTTTACCAAATGATAATTGAAAACAAATTTATGTGGAGAGACGACTATCAGAAATATTAAGGCACATATACATTGGTTTGGAAATATCAAATCTAATGTAGGTTGAACACATATTCTCTCAAACCGTGCCACAACTCTTTAAACCAATTTGACTTCTTTTTGAGTTTCTGTCACCATCTTTTCTAGAATTTTAACTCTCAGCACTACTGCAAAGTGGATTTTTTCTGTTGATCCTTATCAATAAAATTTAACAGAGAAACAGCTTTATTCATATCATTGAAGGAGCCTTACTTTCCCATCACTGTACATCTCCTGTGTTGGGCAGTAAAGACACTTTTTACATCCTCTTCATTTTTACAAGGACTGCTGAAACACTTAACAGATAGCAAGGCTTCTTGACATGTCATACCAAGCCCTAAAAGGTTTTGGCTTAGCAATATAAGCACTCATTCACAAGTGGGCGTAGTGAAGGAGTCCTGTGTAAAAACAGGAATCAGGTTTTATCCATCTGCAGAACAAAGTATTTAGTAAAGTAAAATCAAATCAAGACTGTTTTCTGATTCTTTATGATACAAAGAATATGTCAGGGTGCCATGTTCACATGTCATAGATTTCATAACCAATTATAGTTGTGAACTCATTGGGAGATTACTAATCAGAAAAAAACTAGTACCTCATTCTTGGTTTCTGAAAATGTTAGAAGGCAAAAAAAAATGTGTAACTTGCAGTCTTCTGTATGGTAAACGATTCCAATTACCATTATCCAGAGTAGCCATGCTGGTTGTCTCAGGTGGAAGTTTGAGTTCCATAGCATGAGTTATTTCACAGATTTTCCAGGTCTGTAGTGAGCATTTATACTTGTCATAACCCTGAGTGAAATAGAAATTACAGTTCACTATCTTGTAGATTTCTCACTTTTAACAGACTCTAACTCCACAAAGTATTAAAACCACTATTGAAATCCAGTTCAGCCCATTGACATTAATTATTTTTGCCATTTTGTCAGGCAAGCCTGTCTTCAGGAAAGTTCATGCTAGAGACCATCCCCTTCCTTCTACTGTAATCAACATTCAAGGTATTCCAGTGTGTTAGGCTCCCAGTCCAACAGATAATGTGAAACCAATAACTCACATGCATTATTGTGGGATACAGGGAAGGTGTATTTAAGGTGGGAAGGAAATAGCACTTAGACTTAGCACTTAGACTTACAGTATATACCACTTTACAGTGCTTTACAACCCTCTCTAAGTGGTTTACAGAGTCAGCATATTGCCCCCAACAATTTGGGTTCTCATTTTACCCACCTCGGAAGGATGGAAGGCTGAGTCAACCTTGAGCCTGGTAAGATTTGAACTGCTAAATTGCAGTCAGCTGGCAGTCAGCTGAAGTAGCCTGCAGTACTGCACCCTTACCACTGCCCCACCGTGGCTCGTATGTGGGATTTGATTTTTTTTTTTTTTTTTGGCTTTAATTTATATGCCACCCTTCTCCGGACACTCAGGGTGGCTTACAATGCTTTAAGCAATAGCCTTCATACTTTTGTATATTTATACAAAGTCAGCTTATTGCCCCCACAATCTGGGTCCTCATGTCTTTGTTTTTATGTCTTTGACTAAAAAAAATACTCAATCTTCCCCATTAATTATAACCCATTTCAGAAGACAAAATTTATTTATGTATTTATTTATTTTATTAAATTTTTATACCGCCCTTTTCCTGCTAGACTCAGGGCGGTGAACAGCCAAGAATAAAAAATATCCAATACAAAATTTAAAATTATTAAAAGAATTAAACCAATTTTGGCCCAGATTTAAAACATCCAACTAAAATCCGTTACAATTAAAATATCTAAGGGGGGCCGGTTTACGCCAGCCCAGCTTGGTGAAATAGAAAAGTTTTGAGGGTACGGCGAAAAGCACGGAGATCTGGTATCCTACGTATCTCCGGGGGCAGGTCGTTCCAGAGGGTAGGTGCTGCCACAGAGAAGGCCCTCCCCCTGGGGGTCGCCAGCCGACATTGCCTGGCTGACGGCACCCTGAGGAGTCCTTTTCTAAATGCTTCCCTAGAAACTACAAGCTTGTTTTCCAGTTTAAACATAGACAAGGTTTGCTTCACCCTCTCACACTGCCTGGGAGTTGGGGCAGGTGTTGGTTAGAATAACAATGAGCCCCCTCACCTTTCACTTAGCTTGTATTGGGCTATTTTAGCTCTCACTGAAACATAATGCCTGCATATAGGGAACTTTCAATATTTTTATCAAGTGTGAAGGCATTGCCTTGGGGCCATGAACACTGACAGCTTTACCTGCAGAAATTTTAAGAAAACTTTAAAAATTGAAACAGATCCTAGAAGGTCACCCAGACATCAGTGGAAAATGTAAATGTATACTTTGGTTCTAGTTACAAAAATATGAAACATCTCTACATGATAGCAGTGTTGGGGAGAAATGGAGCCAATCCAGCAGCCAGAATTCATTTTCATGAAGCCCTTCCTTTCCAGGCCTTTTGTTCCAGCCAATATATGTTATAATATCAGAGCTCACTTGATGATAAAAATAATATGAAGAGGCATGGATTACATTCTGAGAGAGAAAAGCCATGGGAAGAAAAGAAAGATGGGAGACTTCCCCATCTAGCACAGAAATTTAATCAATAGGCTTTACTTTACACACCTAAAGTAATAGTTTCAGATACAACTGAGAAAGGTTCAGGTTAACATGAACACAGTATACTGTATGTTGTGTCTAGCCTCGCCAGGAATATTAAACTCAAATATGATGATATTGTGTTGAGCCTGATGTCCTCTGAGTCTGTCTTCACGTAATCAAGGAAAGGTATACTATAGATTGTCCTTTTTGTGTGCAAATCTAAACACATGTTCTTTTGGGAGGCGACAAGGTTCCTTGCCATATTTGGATAGAAATCTTGATGATCAGTAGAAAGAGATGCCAAAAACTCTTAACTCCTTTCTGCCTTGTCCTGGTTATAAAACCTAAGTTGTAATTAAGAGGTATTCATCCAAGTAATGCAGCTAAATGGCAATTGTTGGAGAGTCCTAACAGGAAAAAAATGGCTCTGTGAACCTGGAAAACATGAGCTGATATTTACCAAAGATATTTCTTTATATTTCTCTTCTGGATATGTTATCTGCTTTTGCTTGATTATTTTAGCAGTCTAAAATTCTGACTCATAGAAATCACTTTGCATCTGTTACAATCATATATTTCATATTTAGACAAGCCTTAACTAATAGTAGACCTATTTAAAAACAACCACATTAGGTAGTGCATCACATAGACCTGTGAATCCATAGATAACTCCCTTTTCTATTTCCCAGTTGCAAAGAGCAGCTCAAAGAGCCACCTGCTAAATTGTGGTTCCCTTCAAAAGCACAAGGGGTGAAAGGAAGCACTCCTTTTGACATACAGAGGAGCTATGAGCCATTATATTATTTCTTGATGCTTCCAGGTAAACTATCAGGAGGAGCAAACTCCAATCCTTACAATGCAGGAGGCTGCCCTGATGGTGTATTCTTGTAACAGTTGTTTGCTTGCTTTTGCCACATTAATGGAGTATGTTGGAGGATAAACAAAAGCTGGCTGCAGAAAAGGCAACAGACTCAACTATCCCTCAACTGGTTCTTTTTGTCTTTTCCATCCCCAGAAGAGAACGAAGAGAAGCAGCCTCTGACAAGCAAAGAGGAGGAAGAACGCCGCATTGCTGAAATGGGGCGCCCCATCCTGGGGGAGCACACAAAGCTAGAAGTGATTATTGAAGAGTCCTACGAGTTCAAGGTGTAGTATGTAGACATCTAATGTCATTATTACTATTAATTCTGTATCAGTCCTGAAGTAACCTAGGATTATATTTTGGTAGAGCATTCTCAACATGCACCCCCAAAATGTGCCTGTGCAATTAGAATTTTGTTCTAAGAAAAGGCAAATTGTGCGATTCATACAAATTATAGCACTGAAATAATTTGGCTAATTTTTCTAATATTTTTATTTATTATGTATTTATTTCTTACATTGCAGCATGTGTTTTTTAAAAAAGGGTAAAAATTATATTTTTAAGAATAATAATAATAATAATTATTATTATTATTATTGTTATTGTTATTATTATTATTATTATTTAATCTTTAGTGAGATTCACAGCCTTTGAGGCTGGTTAATAGCTCAGCAGCTCGAGTCCTAACCAAGGACCTAGGAACTGTTAAGGTATCGTTGGAGGATGTAAGCTGTTCGGAGTAAGGTGGTTTTTTTGTAGAGTCAAAATGTTCAAGTCCGGTAAATTTAGAATTTCTAAATAGCGGGATAGCCCTTTGGGTATATTATTATTATTATTATTATTATTATTATTATTATTATTATTATTAGACAGTATACAAATTTTATAAATAAATAAAATAAAATAAATAATACACAGCAAACGAGATGACCATGCTGGATTTCATATCCCAAATCACTAGTTGTTGTTGTTGTTGTTGTTGTTGTTTGAAAGCCATCAAATATTCTTAGGAAGATAAACTGTGCAGCCACAGCCACATTCCTTTCTCTATTTATTTATTTATTTCTATCTCTCTCTTTCATTTCTTTCTCTTCCTAGTGGGATTTCCAAAAATATTAATAAATCTCCTTAGGTATTTCAAGGACATTGTGAAAACATCCTACCACTCATTGTAGAAATGAGTTCAAATCAGAAAATTACACACAATTACACACAGATTGTATAAATGATTTCTGTTAAGTGCAAGAAATCAGGAGTCGGGATATGGTTCAAAAGTATTACAAATTTGTTCCTTGCTATCTCAACATAAGAATCTGATCTACTTGCGGTCAAGGCAAATGGACTTCGGGGGGGGGGTGCTGGACTTAGGTCTCTTACAGGGATGTAGAGACTCCAAACTGATGATGCGTTTGATCCTGCCCTCAGGCTCAGCCTGGTCATTTTCTACTTCTTCAAATAAGAACATTACACACACATTAAATGTAAAAAAATTATGAACAATAAAGCATAGGTACTTTATCCCTTCCTTTTACCCTATGGATAAAGTGGTTAAGTTCGAGATAATACCTAATTTCTCACCCAATCAACTTTTCAGCTAAAGAATATGGATGCATATCTAATCTAGCTCATTAAGCACAATGCCATATTCACTATTTAAAACATAAGGTCTGCATTATTTACATCATTAACAATTATCATATATTTAAATTTAACTTTGATTTTCTTTCGTTTGCATCCCCTGAAGATAATTTTAAATTGGATATTAAAATTTTATACCATTCTGTATTAAATAGGTAGAATTTCATTACACAGGAAGCACTGACATAGGCAATCTTTTTTTAGTTCTTTTATTTATTTATTTTCATGCAGCTTAGCCAAAATATTCTCTTGTCAATTCCCTTAGAAAGTAATTTTGAATGGCTTCAGGCAACCTCACTGAACTTAAATCATGGTCCAGCTCAAATCAATCATTTATAAAGAAAATGAACTATGCATGATTATATATTTCATATTCAATTTTATAATATGAGGTGCATTAGGTTGAAAGCAAAGTTTTTACAACTCTGCTCTATAAGCATATCTCAAGGTTATTAAACGTATAGAGGATCAGTAAAAGCTGAAGATATCCAGTTTAGCTGTAGCAAAGCAAATACGTCAGTTAAATACAGCTTTCTGAAGTACTAATATATTTTCAGAGATACATCAATGTGTCAGGAGTTTCTACATGACATCTTTTTGATTATTTTTATAAATTGCCTTTTTTTTATCCCCAGTTCAATCACTGGCTTTACCAATTCAGAGAATAAATAAGTGAACCAATGTTCTGGCTTCCTGTAAAATTACTTTTCCTCCCTATGCATAGTAGATTGGTCAGAATGAGCTTCAGATGTTTCAACGCAAAAGAAGCTTATAAAATAAACTAGGTAAGGTGTTATATACAGGCATTCCCATGATTAGGTGATCAAAATCCAGGCATTTGGCAACCAGCCTATACTTACAATGGTTGCAGCATCCCAGAGATAATCTGATTGCCATTTGCAACCTTTCCAGCCAGCTTCTGACAAGCAAAGTCAATGAGGGAAGCTGGATTCACTTAATGAAGTGAATAATGTTAAGTGTGTGATTCACTTAACAATTGCAGTGATCTGCTTAACAACTGTGGCAAAAAAAGGGTCATAAAATTGATTTATTATTAGTTCAATTTATATGCAGCCTTTCTCCGAAGACTCAGGGCAGCTTATTAAAATTGAGCATAGCTCACTTAACTACCTTAATTAGCAGTGAAAATTCTGGTCCCAATTGTCATAAATCGAGCACTATCTGTAGTAGCATTAATTTGTATCTAATCTTTTGTCCAGTTATTATAAACATCCAGGGACTCCATGATGACAGATTCATGGAATGTTGTGCAGGCAAATCTGTGGGAGGAATGGATCATTCAGCCTTTCTTGGCTACCTTTTTCTTTGCATAGTAGCCATCACGAATCAATCTTTCCTAAGAACCAGTCCTGCAAATGTAGCAGATTGGGAGAAGATGAATAGATCATTCTGCCTTGACCGCAGCAGCAGCCTTGTTTGCCAAATCTTACTATTGTAATAACAACAGTTAAAATGTCCAAAGAAAGTAGGACTTCCTTTTCACCGCATCAAATATGGATGGATTCATACTTTACAAAAATGTGCAAGTCATCTTTTTGTAGGTCTAATTACAAAGCACCATTAAGACATACTTTGCACAAACATTTCAAGCCGTTTTAAAGCAAGATACTTTTGCATGTTTAATTTCATTCACTTGATGTTGAAGAGCCGTTGTGGCACAGTGATTAGAATGTAGTATTGCAGGCTAATTCTGCCGACTGCAGACTGCCAGCAGTTTGGTAGTTTGAATCTCACCAGCTCAAGGTTGACTCAGCCTTCCAGTCTTCCAGCCATCCTTATCGAAGTCGGTAAAATGAGGACCCGGATTGTTGGGGACAATATGCTGACACTGTAAGCCGCTCACAGAGGACTGTAAAGCACTGTGAAGCAGTATATAAGTCTAAGTGCTATTCCTTTTGCTATATCCATGCTCTGACGCTAACCAGCATCCTTTACATTTACCAATGTGCTCCATGTTTTGTCTGTCCATCTGCAGAACACTGTGGACAAACTTATTAAGAAGACAAATCTAGCTCTTGTGGTTGGAACAAACAGCTGGAGAGAGCAGTTCATTGAGGCTATCACTGTTAGTGCTGGTAAGTTTCTATTTCTATAAATACCATAAATTAAAATTAGTCATTTTCCTAGCCTGAGGTTATCCAGTTAACTTGACTCCAATACTGGTAGCTTGCACTTGTTTCAGGAGCTATGACAAAGGAAGAAGCAGTCTCCCTTTTCTTAAAAAGTAGATAGCTTTAGCATTGTAATTTCAGTGTATTAGTCTTTACGTCTGCATTGCATATATCTGTCTAATGGAGAAGTTCTTTTATTTTAGGTCATGGATGGATAGCTTGTGTCTCTAAAGCCTCTTTCTGTGGCGCCCATGGCAGTTTGGCAAGCTAGCTTCCAAATATCAGTATTGCAGCTTCATTTTGTTTTAAGCACAAAGCAATTTGTGCTTTGTGTTTTGTGAGCTGTGAAATAGGCTTAACAGTTTAAAAAAAGCATAGAAAAAAATAAAATAAATTCCCAAACTCCCAGACCACCTCCTTGGCAACTTCCAGCCCAGGCAACTTTGGTACAACTCTGTCTGGTCCACATCATTTCCTTGCTATGATGGCTCTAGCTTTCCCCACCTAAACCAGACCAAAAATGTGTATCCTTGCCTTCTCTATGATCTTCAAGGGTTCTGGGTAAATGCAATTTTACTATTTTTAAATTATGTTGTCCCTTTTACGGGGAGACATGGGGTGTAGCAGTTAAGAACTGCAGCCGTGTATTTCTATTTATTTTAATGGGGTGCAATAAGGCTGCTGGAAGTAAAGCAATAACAGAACATAGCCATGTGTTCTTTGTAGCTCTGAATTCAATTTACTCTAGACCTAAGTTAGTACTGCAAATGTGTTAACATTGAGTAGAATTTAATCTGGATAGTGGCCCTTGGGAAATTCATGCAGGTCATCTTGTGTTCCTTCAAAAAAAGAAAAGGAGGCAGGAAGAGAGAATAAATAATACATAATATCTGTGATTATAAAATGTTTTTTAAAAGTCTGTGCATGTGTGTATGCCTGTACATGCATACATGTCTCCCAGTACATGTACTGGGAGTATTATATAATCTAATGCATACAAATTTGATTTGATTCTCTGACTTCACAAATAAAAAATTATCTCATTGTGGATACATACTCATTGTAAGATGCTATCTTCCAATTTGCAAATAAATTTCCATATTTGCTTTCTTTCTAAACTATTTTGAGATCCCTTAATACCACTGAAATACATTTCCTTTTGTACTACTATATCGAGTCTTGCCAGAATAATTAGACTGTCTGTGCCTAAATATTAGAAAATGATTTGTTAAAAAAACTTCAATGGGAAATACAATATATTTAACAAGTGCCATCTAGGTATCTGACTGAAGTAACTATATTAGTCCAACTTCAATAAACTATATATGAATTAAGAACATGAGGCTTATTTTTCTAGGCAAGATTTACTTTCTTATAGAGGAATTGAAACAAAAATAAGAACAAGAGTATCTTATTTTATATAAAAAAGATGGGCACTGGGAAGGGTCAACATCTTTAAGATTGTTGGTACAGAATCGGATCAAAGATCCTTTGTATGTAGGCATGACTCTCTGCATGTAGTAACATTTCATTTGTGATCCCACCATCTCACAGATTTTGAGCTTCCTGACAGACATCATTGGCATGAATACACAGGGACTAGATTCATAATTGTGCCCTGCCATAATGTGGTTTGATTTCAGATTAGAATATTTATCCATTTTTTTATGACCTGTAATGCTATATATTGCTTAGGATACGATGCAAATCCAGTTAGTTATTATAGAAACCATAGTTAATAGAATTGTGGCTTAATATGAAGTATGAATCATTGACTACATTTCTTTCACTTCAACTATATACAGAAAAATGATAGAACTATAATTCAGGCAAATTGTAGAATTGATAATGATATTTTAACTATATACAGTATATATATATATATATATATATATATATATATATATATATATATATATATATACACATACATACATACATACATACATACATACATACATACATATATATACTGCTTCCATGAGCAGGATTTTCTGATCATTGCTTCATAAACTAAAGGCACACTGTCTTTGTTAATATTCATGGCAAGTTCACCTACATGAATCACTGTTTCCAACACATCATATCTTCTCCAAGGATAGATAATTGTGCTGTTGCTTCTATGCATCAGAAATAACAATCTTATTACTTGCACCTCAGCATGATTATCTGCTATCCTACTAATTGAAAAGATAATTAAAAGGAGGTCAGACTGGAGTAATAAATCATATAACATTACAAGCTCCATAGGTACTTCTGTCCCTCAAGAAATGATTAATTTAAAACAAAAAAAATCAGTTGATTTTTCTTATTCAGTACCCTTAAATTTTTTCATTATACAAAAATTGGAAAATGAATTGCTTTCAGGAAGTATTTCCCAATTTGCATTACCATCTATTTTTCCATGATCTTTTGTTTGCATGGGTCGTGGCCAAGTGTGACTGGTAGTGATGTCAAACCTCATTTAGGAATCTAAGGTTGAGAACCAAAGATCCAAAACTCTGCCTCCATCAGCCTTTGCAGACAGAGAAATGTCTTTTTCCCCATACTACATATGCTCTGTTGTAGAATCCCCTACGTGTAATTTGCCTTGCTCTTGCTGGCAGGGCTCCTGACATTTCAGAAGTGCCAGGCTAGAAAAGAATGACTCACTTAATCATAAAGATAAGAAAGTGATAAACCATATGACAGATTTTATCTTCTGACATTTTCCTGTGTTCATTCCTAAATCAGCCAAGCGCAAAGACAAAGTGTGTATCAGAATCTTTCCTAGGCAAGTATCTAAAAGAACATAACAATCCCCATTTTATTAGCAGTATCTACCTTGTACATTTAAGGCTGTGGTAGTTTTCCCTTGCCTAAATTGCAACTGGTAAATGAGTGAAAGTGAAACAAGTTCATTTATTTTAACTATGTTTAATTGAAAGAATGTATTATATGATACATGTTATATGTTTAATTGAAAGAATGTATTGTATGATACATATAGTATTATATGTTTAATTGAAAGAATGTATTATATGATACATGTTATATGTTTAATTGAAAGAATGTACTATATGATCTGAGTCAAGTAAAGAACAAAAATCTATGTACTACTTAAAGTCTCGTTCCCATAATCTTTAACTAGGTAGAATAGTACATCGTAGGGGAACAATATTTGAACCAAAGTACCTCAATTTACCTAACTTACAGAATGTATCCAAAATCCAGGACCCAGGACTCGGCCTGGGTCGCCGAGTGGTTATGGGTGCGACTTGGTGCACCCACATAACACCCCTCCTGCACGAGCTGCACTGGCTCCTGGTGGTCTTCCGGGTGCGATTCAAGGTGTTGGTTAGGACCGGGGTATATACGAGACCGCCTTCTGGCAGCAACAACCTCCCACCAGCCAATACGCTCCCACAGAGAGGGACTCCTCAGGGTGCTATCAGCCAAACAATGCCGACTGGCGACACCCAGGGGGAGAGCTTTCTCTGTGGGGGCACCAGCCCTCTGGAATGAGCTGCCCCTAGAGCTTCGTCTTAGCCCCGACCTGCGTACTTTTCTCCGCGCCCTTAAGACCCTTCTGTTTCAGCAAGCCGGACTGGCCTAGTATGAATTTTTAAACAGTATGTTTAATTCATGGCCAAATATTTATATTTCAATTTTAATTGGTTTTAAATTTTATAAATCTATGTGTTTTAATATGGCTGTACACCACCCTGAGTCCTTCGGGAGAAGGGCGGTATAGAAATCTAATAAACTCTTAAACTCTTAAACTCCCGAGGGAACGAAATTTGGGGAACTTGTGGTTGCTTCAGGGCTGCCAACCTCCTTTGCTTCTGCCTTACCAGGCTGCTGTTGTAATCATGTCATGCCTATTTTGAACATTCTGTGACAGTTTCTCAGCCATTCTTGTAATCCCTTGCTCCCTTCCCCACCCAGCAACAAGCATTTAGCTGCCTACTGACCTTGGACTTGCAATTTCCTGTTGGCTTCCCTACTGATTTTTCTCCCTCCCCCATAAGCAATGTAAAGTAAATGGGCAAGCCAGCAGGAATTGGAGGAGGGAGGGTTTTTTGGTTTTTTGCCCACCATAGTCATTTCGTTTCTCTGTTTAGATAAGGATATATCTCTAAATCAATGACCTGACAGGGAATGGGATGTCTAGTGTTAAATAATCCTAAAATACTTTTAAGTCCTTCTGTTCATCTGTATTAAGTATTAGGTATTTCTCAGGCACTACATGCTATTGTAGTCTGAACATATCCACAGGAGACTTTTCCATTCCTAACATGCAGTCCACAACATTCAAATCTGCAGAACTAGAAGCTTCGTCTACCAGTATCAAATGTTCTGTTTATTCACAGGTGGCTTCCTTCTGTTAAGCTGAAGAATTGCACCCATAGAAACACATGTTTTCAGTGAACCTAATTGTTACTGGTGCAGAAAACACAATTTAACAAACTGTCAACATTGTTCCTTGTAGAATATTTTTTTAAAGTCTGCCTGATCTTTATTTCATACTTCACTATAAGATGCAAATGTATCCAATAAGAACCATGTCATCGATAAAGGAGAACATTTGCAGTACAGGGTTGAAATCAGGGGTCCTTGGTGCTCTCTGAGCTTGGCATTTTTTTTTATGCAGACATTTTATTATCCAAATTAGGTAATAGAGCAAGCACTAGCACTGATGACATTACTGCAGGGGTGAAATGCTCCCGGTTTGGACCGGCTCAGGCGAGTAGGTAGCGATGGCGACGGGCAGTTCGGAGAACCGGTAGCAAAAATCCCTGCCCCCGCCCCCCATGCCCAGCTGAGCCACGCGATCATCAGAGCCTTTTTTTCTTTTAAATGCCTCTGACGAGCCAAGCTCTGACGATCCCAGCTGAGTTGCCTGCCAATCAGGCAACTCAGCTTGGATCGTCAGAGCCATTTAAAAGAAAAAAAGTTTTTTTCTTTTAAATTTATTATTTATT